TTACACCATCTGATCCACAGGTGGACGAGCACTGCTGCCAACCTCCAATCCACCACCTGAGTGGGAGAGAGGGTGAAGAGTTGGGAAGCGGGCTGATGACAGCTAATGCTGTCTCTTCATTAGCACCAAGAAGACAAACTGGAACATTTTAAAAGGTCCTCTAGACCAGGCATGCCCAAACTGTTCCTCAAAGGGCCATGTGGCTGCAGGTTTTTGTTCCAACCAACCAAGAGCACATAGTTTGACCAATCAGCTGTCTGAAGACTGAGACCAGTTGATTAAACCTGTCAACTCAGGTGTGCTACTGCTTGGTTGGAACAAAAACCTGCAGCCACAGCGGCCCTTCGTGGAACAGTTTGGGCACCCCTGCTAGACCATTGTTTCACAAAGACAGGGTCGCGACCCTCAGGTGGGTCACAAGAGATCTTTTTTTTGGGTCGTCTCGCATCTTGTTTACCAGGAGTTTATGAATAATGTCTATTGACTTGGGTCGCAAAGGTTTGACTCAAAATATGGGTCCCCAGAAAAAAAGTTTGGGAAAAACTGCTCGAGACAACAGATCTTCAATGAGGAAACCATTTCAGCTCAGGGGTCAACACAATGGTTTTTTCCCCCTAGTGGTTTGCAAGAGGTTTTTACACCTTCTTGACACAACCCAGCCTGGGATAATAGGATTAGGATTATTGAACTTGAAATGTATTGTGTCCCTAAAGCACAGATGTAATAAAATGTTTGAAACTGAAATAATCTCCTCCTATTGATGTGAACACTTGAATTTCATTTCATATATTACTTATCGGCCTCTATTACACGTATTATTTGTGAAAAGTACTTTGCCTTTCTGAACTCCGACATATATACAGTACAGTTGTGACAGAACACTTTTGGGACATTCAAAATCAGGAACCTTGCAGGACAGTCCATAATCTTGCATTTTCGGTGTCTGTCCTCAGGACGGCTCTCTGGGTTACACAGAAGTTCATCCACTACGCCCACATCTGTCTCAAAGCATCGCACTGGCTGGTGCTGCTCGCCTGGGAAAACAGAGTTGGTTATACAGTATATACTGTATATCTAAAATATAACTGCACGCCAATCAGTGAATACCAATATAAATCGTTGATTTTAAGACTTTTTTTATATATAAATGAAAACAAACCTAAGCCACAGGTGGTGCTGCAGTCTGTCCACGCCCCATATCTCCACCTGTAGAGGGGTTCCATGATCTCATTTCCTGTCTCTTTGGTCTTCCTAACTGAGTACTCGTACTTTAACCCCATGTTTTTCTCCTGAAACAGCAGCTAGTCAAACAAAGACAAAAAGAAATCTTCTTTAATTCTTCCTTCAACTGCAATCGTTGGTTCACATTTTCAATATGTAACTTATACAAGATCTTTTGTTAATTAAGACTAAACACACAGACATATATATATATATATACAGTATGTCACAAAAGTGAGTACACCCTCACATTTCTGCAGAGATTTCATTATAATGTTTAATAGAACAACACTGAAGAAACATCGCTTTGACACAATGAAAAGTAGTCTGTGTAAAGCTTATATAGCAGTGTAAATTTATTTTTCCCTTCAAAAAAACTCAAAATATAGCCATTAATAGCTAAACCCCTGGCAACAAAAGTGAGTACACCCCTAAATGTCCAAACAAAGCACTGCTTGTCATTTTCCCTCCAAAATACCATGTGACTCGTTACTCTTACTAGGTCTCAGGTGTGAATAGGGAGCAGGTGTGTTCAATTTGTAGTACAGCTCTCACACTCTGTCATACTGGTCACTGAAACTCCCAAGATGGCACACCATGGCAAGGAACTCTCTGGGGACCTTAAAAAAAAAGAATTGTGGCACTACATAAGGCTGGCCAAGGCTACAAGAAGATTGCCAACACCCTGAAGTTGAGCTGCAGTACAGTGGCCAAGATCCTCCAGCGTTTTAAAAAATCAGGATGCACTCACAACAGGGCTCGTGTTGGACGTCCAAAGAAGCTGAGTGAACGTGCACAGC